TCAATCAGATATATAGACCTGGTTCTGTCAGGACTATAGACTTCCATCAGATATATAGACCTGGTTCTGTCGGGACTATAGACTTCCATCGGATATATCGACCTGGTTCTGTCGGGACTATAGACTTCCATCGGCCGGATATGTAGGTCTGGTTCTGTCGGGACTATAGACTTCCATCGGACAAATATACCTGGTTCTGCCGGGACTATAGATTTCTATCGGATATATAGACCTGGTTCTGTCGGGACTGTAGACTTTCATCGGATATATCGACCTGGTTCTGTCGGAACTATAGACTTCCATCGGCCGGATATGTCGACCTGGTTCTGTCGGGACTATAGACTTCCATCGGACAAATAGATCTGGTTCTGCTGGGACTATAGACTTCCATCGGACAAATAGACCTGGTTCTGTCAGGACTATAGACTTCCATCGGATATATAGACCTGGTTCTATCGGACTATAGACTTCCATCGGACAAATAGACCTGGTTCTCTCAGGGCTATAAATGTACATCGGATATAGAGACCTGGTTCTGTCGGCACTAGAAACTTCCATCGGATATAGAGACCTGGTTCTGTCGGCACTAGAAACTTCCATCGGATATAGAGACCTGGTTCTGTCGGCACTAGAAACTTCCATCGGATATAGAGACCTGGTTTTGTCGGCACTAGAAACTTACATCCCATATAAAGACCTGGTGCTGTCGGCACTAGAAACTTACATCAGATATATCGACCTGATTCTGTCGGGACTTTAGACTTCCATCGGCCGGATATATAGACCTGGTTTTGTCGGGACTATAGACTTCCATCGACCGGATATATAGACCTGTTTCTGTCGGGACTATAGACTTCCATCGGCCGGATATATAGACCTGTTTCTGTCGGGACTATAGACTTCCATCGGCAGGATATATAGACATGGTTCTGTCGGGACTATAGACTTCCATCGGCCGGATATATAGACCTGGTTCTGTCGGGACTATAGACTTCCATCGACCGGATATATAGACCTGTTTCTGTCGGGACTATAGACTTCTATCGGCCGGATATATAGACCTGTTTCTGTCGGGACTATAGACTTCCATCGACCGGATATATAGACCTGGTTCTGTCGGGACTATAGACTTCCATCGGCCGGATATATAGACCTGGTTCTGTCGGGACTAGATCTATATACTTCCATCGGCCGGATATATAGACCTGTTACTGTCGGGACTTTAAACTTCCATCGGACATATACACCTGGTTCTGTCGGGAATATAAGCGTACTTCTCAATTATCATTATGGTCCATTTTGCGACTTTTCTACAACTTACGATTCAAAATGGATGCAGAAAAGCTTTGTGAAATCTTTCAGAAACAGTTGAGAATCATCCATTATTTTGCTAGGAGTGAAAGGGGAGAGGAGAATTGCTTCTTTTCGTCAGCACATGCATTTTACACGTAAATAATACAGATATGTCCTGTCTTAAACCTGGCGCATTATATATTTTACACCAAGGTGCCTAAAAGGAGAGGAACAACAATGCTTTTGGAATGTATGTGTGTGTGTGTTCGAACAGTTCGGGACATTATTCTAACAAAACAAAACCAACATTTGAGGTAATCTACTCTTAAAGTCAATTCTATAACATGACAGCTCTCATCGTCCGTGAAAGTGATCAGCATCTCCATCGTAGTATAACAATACTACTAATACAACAGTGAAAAATACCCAGTCGTATTGACATACTCGAAAGCTCCAGCTGTTTAGAACATTCAGAAATGAGTATCTCCCGGATGTCAACATTTTCACGATTAAGTTATTAAGTTATCATGTCTCAAAATTGAAAAATAATCGTTTTAATCATACATTTTCAAATGATTCTGATTCTGAACACACACACACACACACACACACACACACACACACACACACACACCAACTCGTTTCCCATCCGTGACATCTCAAGAACCACCCCTTTTATTAAAACATATGCTTCAGGGAGGGGCTGTTAAACACTGTAAACAAGGTAATAAAAAAAGATTACGTTGGACGCATGAACAAACTCAATATTTGCGAGCATTTATTAGACAAGCTGCTGGCCATAAGGCTGCCTACATATAATTAAATGTTTCTCGAAAAGTCATGTTTAATCTGACGAGGTTAGGGTGATATTTACATTTGGTATATTGAGATAAATTTTTAAATACCTATAGGAATATCAGACTCAGCAAGGAGAACGAAATGACACCATAAATGATGACAAATACCTACAGCAATATATACACGAGAGACTCTGAAAGGAGACGGAAATGACACTACAAGTGATGGCAAATATCTACAGGAATATATACATGAGCAGCAGAATCAGCTGGGAGACGGATATGACACATAATGATTGCAAATATCTACAGGGATATACACACGAGCATCAGGCTCAGCTAGTAGACGGCTAGACCCAGCTAGTCGTAGTTGTATCTCTGCCATTTGTACAGTCGTAAGTCGCATCTCTGCAATTGGTACAGTCATAGTCGTATCACTGCTATGGTTACAATCGTAGTTGTATCTCTGCCATGGGTGCAGTCGTAGTCGTATCTCTGCCATGGATGTAGTCGAAGTTGTTTCTCTGCCATGGGCGCAGTCGTAGTTGTAGATCTGCCATGGATGTAGTCGTAGTCGTATCTCTGCCGTGGATGTAGTCGTAGTGGTGTCTCTGTCATGGGTGTTGTCGTAGTCGTATCAAGGCCGTGGATGTAGTCGTAGTCGTATCTCTGCCGTGGATGTAGTCGTAGTCGTATCTCTGCCATGGATGTAGTCGTAATTGTATATCTGCCACGGATGTAGTCGTACTAGTATCTCTGCCGTGGATGTAGTCGTAGTTGTGTCTCTATCATGGTTGTAGTCGTAGTCGTATCACGGCCGTGGATGTAGTCGTAGTAGTATCTCTGTCCTGGAAGTAGTCGTAGTCGCATCTCTGCCATGGGTACAGTCTAAGTCGTATCTCTGCTATGGTTACAATTTGTAGTTGTACCTCTGCCATGGATGCAGTCGTAGTTGAAACTCTGCCATGGGTGCAGTCGTAGTCGTATCTCTGCCATGGGTGCAGTCGTAGTTGTAACTCTGCCATGGATGCAGTCGTAGTTGTTTCTCTGCCATGGGTGCAGTCGTAGTTGTACCTCTGCCATGGATGCAGTCGTAGTTGTAACTCTGCCATGGATGCAGTCGTAGTTGTAACTCTGCCATGGATGCAGTCGTAGTTGTAACTCTGCCATGGGTGCAGTCGTAGTTGTAACTCTGCCATGGGTGCAGTCGTAGTTGTATCTCTGCCATGGGTGCAGTCGTAGTTGTATCTCTGCCTTGGGTGCAGTCGTAGTTGTAACTTTGCCATGGATGCAGTCGTAGTCGTATCTCTGCCATGGATGCAGTCGTAGTTGTAACTCTGCCATGGGTGCAGTCGTAGTCGTATCTCTGCCATGGGTGCAGTCGTAGTTGTAACTCTGCCATGGATGCAGTCGTAGTTGTAACTCTGCCATGGGTGCAGTCGTAGTTGTATCTCTGCCATGGGTGCAGTCGTAGTCGTATCTCTGCCATGGGTGCAGTCGTAAGCGTATCTCTGCCATGGGTGCAGTCGTAAGCGTATCTCTGCCATTGGTGCAGTCGTATTCATATCTCCGAAATGGGTACAGTCGTAGTGGTAACTCTGCCATGGGTACAGTCGTAGTCGTATCTCTGCCATGGATGCAGTCGTAGTCGTATCTCTGCCATGGGTACAGCCGTAGTCGTATCTCTGCTATGGGTACAGTCGTAGTCGTATCTCTGCCATGGATGCAGTCGTAGTCGTAACTCTGCCATGGATGTAGTCGAAGTTGTTTCTCTGTCATGGGTGCAGTCGTAGTCTTACCTCTGCCATTAGTGAAGTCGTAGTTGTTTCTCTGCCATGGGTGCAATCGTATTCATATCTCCGAAATGGGTACAGTCGTAGTTGTATCTCTACCGTGGATGTAGTCGTAGTCGTATCTCTGCCATGGGTGTAGTCGTTATTGTATATCTGCCATGGATGTAGTCGTAGTCGTATCTCTGCCGTGGATGTAGTCGTAGTTGTGTCTCTGCCCTGAAAGTAGTCGTAGTCGTATCTCTTCCATGGTTACAGTCGTAGTCGTATCTCTTCCATGGTTACTGTCGTAGTCGTATCTCTGCCATGTGAACAGTATTAGTCGTATCTCTGCCTTGGGTATACGTACAGTCGTAGTTGTATCCCAAGTTTACTAAGATTCACGTTCTGGGGGTACCTAAACTAAGAACGACAAAATCCTTTCCATATTCATGAGAAAGACCTGCCAAAATCAGAGTCGATTCTATGTCATGCAACAAATAAAGATTTAAATATTCTTGTACACAATGCTTGATTAACCCCTGTAGGACCTCAATTTCATGATGGACGGACACAGGCCTGCATTCAGGGCGCGAGGTGCTGGAAATACCGTGACAGAATCGTTGCGCATCATTATCAGAGGGCACAACAACATTTGCTTCAAAGGATTGTGCATCTGAATGCACGTATGCCCTCTCGGCGATAACCATGTGAAAGTATGCTTTGAGTCTTGAAATAGCGCCAGTACAGTTCATTTTGATGTACAATATCGCTAACTTGAAATATATATAACTTCAAACATATGATAAAACCAACTGAGAGGTATAGTTTCGTTTGCTCCTCGGTTTAGTTTTTGACAGAAATCTTCTTTCACTGACAGGATAATCTACATCAACGTTAAAAATGTGTCAATAAAACAACACTTATAAAACACTTTTGAACATCAGTTTTAAGTATGAGCATCCGTTGTAGCAGTGATACGTTTACAACGAGTTTCCACTGGAGTAATATAACTAGAGGACACCGTTCATAAAGCGACGGGAAACATACACGAATTTGTCATTTGTTGTCAATACCAGGTCAGTATCGTTTCTCACCAGTGGTTAAATGGAACAGGACATATGTGCTTTATTGCGGAAACGCTAGGAGGAAATGGTTCCTGACTGGTTCGATTTTGATTTTGTCCTTGAAGTTAGCGCTATATATAGAGACGCTCTTCCCCTTTCGATTTATCCGGAGGAATCCTGTATTCTTCGCTGACATTTCCAAAGACGTTCATCATGAAAGTGGTGAGTAGTATTTGTTTCTTTGAAATTTCGTTTTCATTTTGAAACCTTTTACGTAGGTTAGCTTGATGAATGACTAATACTTTTATGACGATAAACGAGAGTTCTCGAGATGTCTTTATCCCTCGGAAAATAATTAATTTAAAAAAATGTTATCGAATTGTTGATATCAATATATATTCTCACGCATGATCAATGCATGTTTTTTCATTTGCGGAAGCAAAAAGAAATTCCGAGCTGATGCTCGTGTATAATTCCTGCAGGTATTTGCCATCATCTGTGGTGTCATTTCCGTCTCCTAGCTCAGTCTGATATTCGTGTATGTATCTGCCATCATTTATAGCTCAGTCTGATACTCGTGTCCATATTCCTGTATGTATTTGCCTTCATTATAGTGTCATTTCCGTCTGCTATCAGAGTCTGATGCTCGTGTAGATATTCCTACCGGTATTTGCCATAATTTGTAGTGTTATTTCCGTCTCCTAGTTGAGTGTGATGCTTGTGTATATGTTCCTATAGGTATTAACCATAATTTGTAGAGTTATTTCCGTCTCCTAATTGAGTGTGATACTTGTGTATTTGTTCCTTCCGACATTTACCATAATTTGTAGTGTTATTTCCGTCTCCTAGTTGAGTGTGATACTTGTGTATATGTTCCTACTGGTATTTAGTATACTTTGTAGTGTTATTTCCGTCTCCTAGCTCAGTCTGATACTCGTGTCCATATTCCTGTATGTATTTGCCTTCATTATAGTGTCATTTCCGTCTCCTATCAGAGTCTGATGCTCGTGTAGATATTCCTACCGGTATTTGCCATAATTTGTAGTGTTATTTCCGTCTCCTAGTTGAGTGTGATGCTTGTGTATATGTTCCTACCGGTATTTCCCATAATTTGTAGTGTTATTTCCGTCTCCTAGTTGAGTGTGATACTTGTGTATATGTTCCTAAAGGTATTAACCATAATTTGTAGTGTCATTTACGTCTCCTAGTTGAGTGTGATACTTGTGTATATGTTCCTACCGGTATTTGCCATAATTTGTAGTGTCATTTACGTCTCTTAATTGAGTGTGATACTTGTGTATATGTTCCTATAGGTATTTCCCATAATTTGTAGTGTTATTTCCGTCTCCTAGTTGAGTGTGATACTTGTGTATATGTTCCTAAAGGTATTAACCATAATTTGTAGTGTCATTTACGTCTCCTAGTTGAGTGTGATACTTGTGTATATGTTCCTACCGGTATTTGCCATAATTTGTAGTGTCATTTACGTCTCCTAATTGAGTGTGATACTTGTGTATTTGTTCCTTCCGGTATTTGCCATAATTTGTAGTGTCATTTACGTCTCCTAATTGAGTGTGATACTTGTGTATATGTTCCTACCGGTATTTCCCATAATTTGTAGTGTTATTTCCGTCTCCTAATTGAGTGTGATACTTGTGTATATGTTCCTACTGGTATTAAGTATAATTTGTAGTGTTATTTACGTCTCCTAATTGAGTGTGATACTTGTGTATTTGTTCCTTCCGGTATTTGCCATAATTTGTAGTGTCATTTACGTCTCCTAGTTGAGTGTGATACTTGTGTATATGTTCCTACCGGTATTTGCCATAATTTGAAGTGTCATTTACGTCTCCTAATTGAGTGTGATACTTGTGTATATGTTCCTACTGGTATTTAGTATAATTTGTAGTGTTATTTCCGTCTCCTAATTGAGTGTGATACTTGTGTATATGTTCCTACTGGTATTTAGTATAATTTGTAGTGTTATTTACGTCTCCTAATTGAGTGTGATACTTGTGTATATGTTCCTACTGGTATTTAGTATAATTTGTAGTGTTATTTCCGTCTCCTAGCTCAGTCTGATACTCGTGTCCATATTCCTGTATGCATTTGCCTTCATTATAGTGTCATTTCCGTCTGCTATCAGAGTCTGATGCTCGTGTAGATATTCCTACCGGTATTTGCCATAATTTGTAGTGTTATTTCCGTCTCCTAGTTGAGTGTGATGCTTGTGTATATGTTCCTATAGGTATTAACCATAATTTGTAGTGTTATTTCCGTCTCCTAATTGAGTGTGATACTTGTGTATTTGTTCCTTCCGGTATTTGCCATTATTTTTAGTGTTATTTCCGTCTGCTATCAGAGTCTGATGCTCGTGTAGATATTCCTACCGGTATTTCCATAATTTGTAGTGTTATTTCCGTCTCCTAGTTGAGTGTGATACTTGTGTATATGTTCCTTCCGGTATTTCCCATAATTTGTAGTGTTATTTCCGTCTCGGCTCTGTTTGATATTCGTGTTGGTGTTTTTCAACCATTTGTAGTGTCATTTCGGTCTTCCAGTTGAGTCTGATGCTCCTGTATATATTGCTGTAGGTATTTGCTATCATTTATGATGTCTTTTCCGTCTCCTCTCTGAATCCGATGCTCGTGTTTATTTCTTCAAGTATTGGCCATCATTTATAGTGTCACTTTAGCCACCATCAACTAAAACTCTTTTGCTTTATTGTATATATTCCTGTAGTCATTTGTATTGTCTTGTCTTGTCTGTGCCTCCAGCTGAGTCTAGTGGTCGTGGCGTTGCTGGGCGTGGTCCTGGTGCAGTCGGATTGTCCCCCGAGCTGGAAGGAGAGTGATAGCCAACTTGGAGGTGACAGTGATGCCCTCAGTAAGGCGTACGCCAGCATCGACCAAGAGTGAGTTGTTGCCTGTTTACTGAAATCTAGCAAATCTACCTTTTGAACAGTTGTTATGTGTTTATGATCAGGTTCTGTGATATTCTCGGTGCTTGGGCGGGATGTGGTTAAAGGTCGATTCCCATTATTGTAAAACCTGTGAAACACGTTCTTTGTGTCCCCTGATGTGATTTGCAAAGTGGACACAAGTTATGGATAACAACTTCTTAAATTACCTTTTAAGGCGACGTTTCGGTAAAGATCCTTATACCGTTGTCAAGTAGGACTGAAACCATTAGAATTGGGTCGATGTCCCCAAGTTTCATCATAAGCTCAGTAGCATTGATATATGCTGAGTCAACTACAAAAAGACATGTTTGGGCCGAAACTTTAAAACTGCGCTCCACTGTGTTACAAGACGAAGATATTTCTTAAACGTTTATCTTTACTTATATGCAGCAGAATCTCTGCATTTGTTCACAGGAGACGTTATTCAAAATTAAAATACCGTTTACCGTAAAATACCGTAAAATTAATAGGTTGACCCATATGATGAAATACATTAAATACATGCTATTACAGTAAACTACGGTTATAACGAACTCAAATTACTAATTATAGTTCGTAATAACCGTAGTTCGATATAAGCATATATACATCATAACTACAGCAAATAGTCGAGACCAAAAAAGTAAGTTCGTTATATCCGTCAGTTCGTTATAAGCGTGTTCGTTATAACCGTAGTTTACTGTACTATCAACAGTGTTATTGCTGAACCCACTTGTTCTGAACCACATGTTGTCCGATGCACTTCCCCATTTTGACTCGTACCATATGCTCCCGTGTTGTTTTTCAGGTGAACAATTGACTTACCTTTGCATGTATTTGTAACGGGTGCCACCGGTAAGGCAGGATACCTGGTTTCATCACTATTTGATAGTTACTCTTAAGCGCCTGCTCATGAAATAGTCGGAATCGTACAATCGACTCTGCTTTAGCAGATATTTCTTATGAACACGGAAAGGGGTGTGTCGCGTTTATTCAGCAACAGCAGTTGTGACTATTTGCGTTTGGTGACCATTTTGATTTACCATGTGGGTATTTGATATTTCAGTCTAGACGAGTCTTCTCTTAGAGTTGTCCGCAAGGTTGAAAGCAGCAGTAAATGCCCCGACGAGTCAGATACTGATGTGTAGCTTCCAGCCGCCCTCACGGCCAGGTAGGTTTTGTTTGTTTATTTGTTTGTTGCTTAACGCCGCATTCAGCAATATTTCAGCTATATGACGGAGATCTGTAAATAATCGAGACTGGACCAGACAATCCAGTGATAGACATCATGATCAAGATAATAAATGTGAATACTTGCAAACGTTGCACTGCTTATGTGTTCCATGGTAATTTGGACATTGACCTACTGTGTTTTCAACTTGAAGGTCTCCGGTCTTCGAATTGGAGGTTCCTCTCCACTGTAGGGAGCACGAGTGGCCCAGTCGTCTAAGGCGCCGCGATTCGCTGTGCAGAGTTGCGTCCCTTGGGCACGCCAGAAACCTATGATTGTGGGTTCGAATCCCGGTTCGCCCTAATTATCTTTCTAGGTTTGTCAGCACCATACCCGTACTCGTGGGTTAGAACGAAGTGGTAAACGTCTAAGACTTGCATCACTTCTGGCTTTCCTCCCACGTTAAGCTGACACGCCGTGATATTACTAGAATAATGTTAAAAGCGGCGTTAAACTCAACTCACTCACTATTGTAGTGGGACATTTCTTAAAACCCTTCATTCGTTAATCCGGAAATGTATTTATCTGCACGGACTGAACACATTCTTAGCACATTTATTGTCAACATGATGTGCAATGCCACCCCACACTATGACCTTGGCATGGCATGAAGATGAGGGATTGTCACAATATGTTGTCTCATAAACATACGTATCCGTATTTCAATCTGTGGAATGTCACGACATGTTGTCTCATGAACATATGTATCCGTAAAGTGATATTTTCATTGCAGTGAACATAACACTTGATATTTCACTGCAGTGAACATAACACCTGATATTTCACTGCAGTGAACATAACACGTTGACGGAACTATGTTGGCCTACACGAGACAGCTCGTACACAAACTGTTGATTTACGTCAGTTCAACGTTGACAAGTCATATAATGACAGATGATCATTTATGTAGTTAATACCGATTCTTACCGTTTGTTTTTTTGTTGAAAATGATTTGTATTAAACTGTGAATTTCTCTTCTGATTTGTCAGTCGATACTTTACGTTTCGCAAGGCGCCATTTTGTTACTTGAATTGCGTGTATTCTTTCGCTTCGAACAACCGTCTCATTGATTTGAAATTTATTTTTTGATGAAGTTGATTTTGTATATAATCATATCCAAATTTATACTAAAGAATTTTAGTGACATCAAATATTTTTGGTTACTTTTGTTTATATTTTTTAAGGTTTAGCAAAGACGGAACTACATTTTTAGTCGTACTTACAGGGGGTGGAAAACCGTCCGTGTGTGTTATGTAGGGAGAATTTACGCTTGAAGGTTTTACATTTGTAATGAAATATTTCCAGGAGTAAGAGAGCTGCAGTACCCGCTGTCCCTAAAAGCTGTGAGCCGTGCCCCTCTAAACAGGTGTTCCTCAGACGCTTCTATAAAGTCTGTTGGGTGCTGTTCTGGAACATCCAGCAGGTGCGCTACGTCACGTGCCCCGGGTAAGTCTGGACAGCTGAAGCGTGGGTGCGGTAGCCAAGTGGTTAACGTTTAGCCTCAGATAGACCTTTATTCGATTGTCGCAAACGGGACAACGGGAGAAGCACAGTCTTGATGTAACTGGAATGTTTAAACACCTAACGTCTTCAAACCTGTACACTGTATTCAATATTTCAACGGGTGCCATTTAAATTATGAGTTTCTGAGGAGAGGAGTTATACTTTATAAGCACTGAAACTGTACGGTAAAGTGAAACAGTTGTTACAGTAGTCATAGAGCTGTCATCGCTGCAAAAAACATGTGATGAATTCCCAACGTAAATGTTCTTGGAGAATCTGTGAAATGCTACGTTGGCGCCTGCACAGTTATTACTCATAGCTATCGTAGTCCACAGCCCAGTGAACATGGTCAGTCGGTCCCAACGTAATAGTAAGCTTCTTCAGTTAATGAGGGCTTCTGGTGATTCCGATTTCGGTTAAACAATGGGATGCATGAAAACATCAAAGGTAAAACAAGTGCCTTCCTTTCAGAAACCCGTACAGCCAGCAGTGCACGTGCCAGACTTACCGCTGCAACCGCACCCACTACGTCAGGGTGTGGTTCCTATCGTGGTGTGCCGGTGGCGACACCCTCCCCAGCGGTTACACAGGAGGCCTCAACTACAACTACCTGTGGTTGCCCCAGGAGTGCACCTGTCGACGTTGTTGAGATGTTTGACGTCCCTCAACATGATATTCTCGTGATGACATGAATACTATATTGACTCTGGCACAACCCTTTATATATTTGTGAATTAACTGTGCCTAAACCTAAAATGGGGAACGTAGGTACATGTATTTATTCTGAAATTATGCCGAATGTTTTAATATTTTGGTTAGATTGTAAATTTTATTTGTGGTATTTAGTATCGCGAGAGTATTGTGTTGATGCACTGTGATCATTCTACACAACCCAGTTTTTTATCAATAAACGTTTGATAAATATCCGTTTCTTGTCTGTTAAAACCGTGAGACCGATTTATGTTGATAACCGATTAAATGGTCTGGTCAGTCAATCTTTGTTCATGACACTGGGGACGCCATATCTCTATTGTATAAAAACGAATTATATGTTGGTGATGGCGTCACTCTCTCAATCACCCGTGGCTTATAGTGACCGACATTGTTCAGAACGGTGTTTTATTTAATAAACCGCGACAAACCCGTTGTTGGAATTACTATCAAATAGTGATGACACCATGTGTTCGCGAAAAGGTTAGCTAATCCTGCCCAACCGGTCTCACCCGCCATAAGCACATGCAAAGGCAAGTCAATTGTTGACGACACGTCAAAAACACGGGAACATTTAGTGCAAATCAAAATAGGGAATCTCGACGGCGTTGACCGTTGCTCATAATATCAATCATTGGATTGTCTGGTCCAGTCTCGATCATTTACTTGTCGCCGTGATAGGGCAGGAATACTACTGACAGCAGCGTAAACAACAAACAAACAAAGTACAGAGTGTTTTCATTTGTCAAGAATACAGGTAGACAAAATATCAAGACAGCATCGAAATCCTAGGATTGAATACACATGGGTAGATTTATTATAATTACACTGAGGTAAAAAGAATTGAATATGGGGATCAAGAAAAAAGTATTTATTGAGAAATGGGTTTCTGATATCAACATACAGTTGACAAAACAAGTAAAAAGCGATACTTAAGAGGTACTCTAGACTACCAGTTGTCAGACTTTCATTTTTGTGGAAGATTCGGTGGCTGAGCGGGTTAGATCTCTGGATTAGGTGCCGCACTCTAGCAATGTGGTTTCGAATCCCGGATGCCACTCAACCCACCAATAATACAAGAATCTGTACTTTACTAAGCAAGTGTTATCCCAAATATAACATTTGTTACATTTGACCATTTTATAAATGGCATTGTGTGTTCAGATACTTCAGAGGTTAGAATAAGGCAGTTTTCATACCACACCCCATATCAACCCGAGGGCCGAAGGCATAAAATATACCCATTTCCAAGTGAAATGCAAAACATTTTCACCTTGTTTGGAATTCATTGTCACGGGAAAGCTAGCTGAGCAGACGAGCAAGGGACGTAACTCTACTTTATTATCACACTGGCGATGTCGACATTACATTTAAAATGCATTGACATGCCATATCAGCCGTGCATAGGGTGTAATACGAATCTGGTATTACACCCTCTGTGATATGACCGTCTCCATGTGCGTTATCGCACATGCAAAATACCTCATATCATTGATCGGTATATGATGATCTTTTGTATCACCGAAACTGCAAAAAGTTCCGTCTTAAAGTTTACACTTGTCTCCAATGAGGCGATCGTGTGAGCTGCATCTAGACCAAGCGAGGTGTTATTCAATCCTAACACTAACAAATATTGATCGGAAATAGTAAATAAACTTGATACACTTGATAACAAAGCAAAGAGCTGTGAGTGATGGGATTAACGCCGCATTAAACAGTACGTCAGTTATATCACGGCGTGTCTGCTTGGCGTGGGAGGGAACCCCGAACTGATGCACCTCTTTAACGTTTATCATTCTGATGAAGCCCTCGAGCACAGGAATGACAAACCTGGAAACATGATCAGGGCGAACCGGGATTCAAACCCACGATAATAGATTTATGGCACACAACTTTGAAAACCGAATTGCGGCACCTTGTACCACGAGGCCCAAAATACGTACCCGCATCTCTGAAACCACTGTCTGACATGTGATGTTCAGTTACGTTTCCACTGTCAATCACCCAGAAACATCACAGTGTGTCATTATAACATTGAAAGTGTCTATACAGTATTCCAGTCATATCACGGCGTGTCTGCTTAAAGTTGGAGGAATCCCAACGTGTTGCAGGTTTTAAACGTGTTAAAGGTGCGGCAATGCGCTTTGCAAGGTTGCGTGCCATGACTTCAAGATCGTGGGTTTGAATCCCGGTTCGCCCTGATTGTACTGGTAAAACTGACACAGCACATTATGCCACATATAAGGCCAGTATGTCAACTGAGGAGGAAACCTGCCAAAAACATGCATATCTATACCATACAGTACTATCAACATTTGACTTCACACTAAAACCTGAAGACATGTCCAATCCTCTTTTGTTCTTGATTCCAAAACTCCACAAAAACCGTGCAAAGTGAGACATATTGCTGGGTCCCGCCAGTGTACCACCAAATTCATTGTCTCAAACATTAACCATAATTCTCAATACTACCAAGGACTTTCATCATGTTCACAGAAAGTATGTGAGACAGTTGGAATAAATACCATGTTAATTCTCAAAAACTGTTAAAAGTTGCTTGACTTTGTTACAATCTTAGAAAAAGAACCAAATTAAATTCTATCAAAACATTTTATTTTTCAACATTGTACTCCACTATCCCACATTACAAAATTAGGGAAAACTTCATTCCTTGATCCATGGGCTTTTGTTACAAAACGTGGAGACCATATATATAGTTGCATATCTATCTTTAGTGGTTCAGGACAATAATTCAATAATAAAAGCAAATGCCATCTAAAGTTTAATGAGAAAACAATATGTGAAATGCTGCACCTAACGGGCGATCTTTTTGTTCCAAAGGGCAATAACTCTCCTTTTGAAATGACATTAGCGACGGCCCAACCTGTCGCTTCCGGTCTAGTTTTCGGATCTATACCATTGTCTTACATTTTCAGTCAGTATACATATTACTGAAATGATTCCTTTATTTAATCTCAGTTTAATTTGGATCTATTTTGATCTTACGAAGATCTAAGTAACTTATGTAAGTAATGTATGCTGCTTGTACTAGTCCGGACTGATGCCGATTTATAGTGCTAGCTCACTGAGATACCATGCCGCAGTTTAACATGAATACCCCACTCAGACACAGTATACTGACTCCGAGCCGACCAGTCCTTGTTTTAGCCCCTTAATGCCGAGCGCCAGACAGGGTAACAACAAGTACCATCTTTTAACGTCTTTTGGTATGGAGCGGTCGGGGAACGAACCCCGGACCTTCCGCTCTCCGGGCGGACGCTCTACCACTAGACCACGGAGGCGGTCCCTTGCCGCTGTACTGAAATGCATGCATGTGATGTCGTCTGCTTGGCGATACTACAACATAGATATGGAAACGTGTACAATGAAAATCTACCTCCTTTTTAAAAGAGTGATATTCCAACATCAAGGGCAACACTTTCAGTACCGATTGCAAAACGTTAACAAAGCGACCTTGAATGAACGATCAACTGATCTTACCGCCTCGCTCCGAACGGCTATCTAGTGGTCAACTATACAATATAATCAGTCGTGGTTATCCCTGGTGTATCATTGAATCACGGAACATATATTTCCGGACATGACAATAGATAAATCATTGTTTAGGCGAAAAGATGTACTATCTACACACCAGCGTGACCGTTGCCGTTAGAGCTGAAGGTTATACTGGTTAACTGTCTATAGGCGTCATAGTAACATGTTGTGCTCGTATCGCGCACACCACATGCGCCGTCAGTTAAAGGTTGGACCGTCCGGGTCAGCTCACTTCGCGGGTTAGTGAAGGGAAGATAAAATGAAAAAGATGGCCCATTGATAACATCTGTGTACCACTTGGGGGTAACACATTTAGGCCAGAAGTCGGCATCCCCAACGGCAGCAATTGTTCTGATGCATAAGAATCGGAATTTCACAGGTATATCGATGATTTGATATCGGTTAATACCCGTCAACTAGCCAATTCCCTTCCAATGATTTACCCACCTGACCGAGAAATAGAAGTAAAGGAGACCAGTGAGGCCGCCTCATCTGTTTCATATTTAGATGAATAAAAGATTCAGAGTGACAAAACACTTTCCACGGGACTGTATGACAAGAGGGATAACCTTAACCTTCTAAAAGTCAACTTTCCCTTTATTTCGAGCAATATTCCTGCAGCTCCAGCCTTTGGTGTTTTCTTTTCACAACGTTTGAGGTACAATCCAGCATGCTCTTTCAACCAAGATTTTAAAAGGCATCATACGAATCTTGCTCTACAGTTGTTTGATCAAGGTTACAACACTCAAGGCCTCAGTAAACTTTCAAAACGTTTTATGATAGACATATGAAGGACACTTCCAATTTTGACGCATCTGTGACTAAAATGATGTCCGATCGAATTCCCTATCTTGACTTATACCCTAAGTTCCCGTGTTCTTTTTAGGTGAACAATTGACTTTACATGTGCTTGTGGTGAGTGCCACCTTTTGGGCAAGATACCCTCACCTTTTCACAGACACCTGGTACCATCACTATTTGAACAAGATGTTTTAACACATGCTCATTTTATAGTCGGAATCGTACAATCAGATATTTCTGTTTGTTTCAAAAACAGTTTGTAAACATCCCTGTTCCTAACATCTTGACGTTGGAACAGTGAGAATAAATATTTCATTTCAATACAAGCATAGGAAACAAACATAACAAATAACTAATCATTGGAATGAGTTTTGTGTCATTTTTCTGTAACAAATAGATAGTTTATGTCATTTTTATTAGCAGGTAATTATGAAATATCATTTGTTCCATGAACCGCCTGGTTCGATGAATCAGCCAAACATGGCTTCTGCCCGAGAACACATTTCAGTCACTCGTACAGTCAGACCCCTTTATCTCGAAATTCATTATCTGGAATATTCCAATATCCATTTCGTCTTACAATATAAATACCTATTATTTTGATTTGACCAATTTTCTCGAATTGGAGATAAAAAATG